AACATATAACGCTAAACGCGCCCAACTGCCAGTGCTGTCTTTATTGAAAAATCATTCTGAATAAACAAAACAAATATAGCTAGCAATTGATGCTGTCCTCTATTTTTTAAAATGCTAACATCCCATAATACCATTTTCGTTTTACCGCGTCCACTAATTTTACATTGTATACAATTGATCGTTTTACTTGTTTACATTTTAAAAAATGTGCAAAAGTTTTCAATGTTGATTTGACCATTTCGTAACAGAAATACGACGTGGACACCTTGAGCATAACTAATAGGTTGATATATACATCTAATCTCGTAGTAGTAATGCTATGAACGACTCCAGAACAATCATCGACGCCGGCGTATTAGGAGACGCGGTTCGCAGTAGATTGCAGGTACACAGCAACTGTTTTTCGCCAAATCTACGCAGTGGGGTTTTTGATAGTATTCAGTCGGTTTCACGGTGTGTTTGAATTCACGAAATAAAACAAAATCCAGTTAAACGTTGAAGTATGTGTGCTCTTTTTACAATAACTAACTGCACAAATGCAGCTGCGCATTGATATAATGGTACGGACCAGTAATTCAACAACTGATTGGATATACATTTCATAAAACGATTACGAGTCGTGTATAATTAAAATACTAAAAACAGATCTAGGTTATTCACACTGCTCCTTCAATAGAATCAATTAAGCGTTAAATAGAAGACACCTTTCACATTTTACTTATTATACTGTATTTAATCAATACTAACACCCGTGGTTTACATCTTTACTGGAGTAATTCGGACAAATTTGTATACGGATCGAATACTATACGAGATGATCACTCGAAACTGCTCGGCTGATTGGAGAATCATCTTCCAAGTGAATTGTGATACGAAATGATTAAACCTGGGGGAAAAACAATAACGTAATTTAGTATATACAGCTTACACGCTTTCGAGGTTGCGTAAACTACGATCATGTGTAAATTCTAAAAAAAAATATGTTCTCGCATTTGCAATCACCCTAAAAATTGGTTCCTGGCGTCCATCGTGAAAACGAGACAAATAAAGTATGAACGGCGTTTTGGACTTGCGCAGTTACTGACGCGAGAAATGTGTGCATGGTGCACGTACTGAATATTATAATAATGCTAGAGCTTCACTTACTTAATGATAAATAAGAAATTCACAGATAAAATAATTTGGAAAGTAGCAGCTTCTATCATTCCACGCATAATCTGCGTTTTCGCTGAAAAAATAAAGATAACCAATGAGATAATGCGTAACATAGGGCTCCATGGGAAAAGATGAAAGTTCCTCGCCAAACGCCCTCTACAGTTCAATTTTCTTTCCCATAATCCTTTGCAAAATCCAATATGGAGTTAACACAATCAACTGCCCTAATAAATATAGGAAACAAACAAACAAACTCTCTGTAAGGACCACTAACCAGTTTTCACCTCTCACCTGAGTTCAATGCAGTCTTCATTGTCTTTGTTATTCGGTTCCGATTTTGCCCAATTTGCAAACTTTTGTTTTGCTCCGTCTGACCTAAGATACACCCCTTCCTCTTGGATATCGTTGGCATCTATCCAATAGCGAGCACCTGGGTAGGCAATGTTCCATACGTCATAAGACATTGGAGGAAATATAACCCAACAGAACCCAACAGTATATTATATAGGCAGTATTCTTAAAGGGTGGTGGTCGTCACGTAGCGAGTCTTTGAATTTTACACGCGTTGTATATACGTCGCTATGAGTCCCATGCCGAACAGGACGTGGAGCGATAACCGCCGCCCTTTAATGCAACTGTTATTATTAAAAGCGATAGAAATATTATAGAACTGTTGAGTTTAGAGACAAAGTATATATCCGTTTAAAAGTTTTCTTGCTAGTGTGTGTAGCTTATGAGGGCGTGCTAAGTGATTATTGTTTTTATACCACTTGTTTTCAAATAGCTGTTTTTATTGAGGCCATGTTTATCTAAAGTGTAGATATAATCACGTGCTTTTAATAAAAAAATTTGGTGTCAATGCAACTCCGTTTTGTAACCAATTGCGTCATTCAGTTGCCCGTTGACCTTCTGAATGCATCACATATATTTATGACTTGTACTGACAATCGAACGGTGAAACCTAATTTTAAAACATTCATTTTCTTGAAAAAAAACATGAGGTAACCCTCAAATTTGCTTACATAAATATTCCATACATCGTCTCAAAGTACATATTGAAAGTTGAAAATTTTATTCCCGTTTTTCAGAAAGAATACACCCCAAGATCAAAATAGATAAATTTTAATAAGTCGCGTCGTTCAAAATGAACGCGATACTAGCCAGCCATCACGTGACCCAGGGATTTTTTCCCCCACGTGATAAACATGGTGCGTATTCTGATGGACTCACCTAACTCGTCGTTCGTGGTGTATACCCAACTGATGACAGCTTTATCTCTCTCCATATCGGGGATCCTTGCCAAACGACCACCTAGCTCCTCGCAGTATTTCAACGCCCCGAAATAAGTCTTCCGGTGGTACACTATCTCATATTGACTTACTTCGCCTTCAGTTTTCTGAAAATGGAATTTCTTCTTATTGCCCCGGGTATTGCCAAGTCAATTCTTATCTGTATTATTGTTTGTGTATCGAGGCACTAATTATCCCACAACCGACGCCCTTGGATGACATTTCTCACACAAGATGTAAGTGTGACGATGTCAGCAGCGTCTATTCTCTTTTTAGTTGCGGCTCACTGCTGGTCTTCTGTCTAATCAAACAAACGGGTTTCACGTGCGCGCATGTCTATATAGCATGGCAACGATGTGTGATTTGATCCCACGTTGAAGTACCCTTAGCTATGCAGGAACGTGGGAATCTGTCTTTTGCGTTGACATGTTCTTCCGCGTAAACAAAAAAAAAAACAGTGCGCAGTTTGCATTGGGGTATAAAACAATATCTTATTTTGAACTGGGTGCAGTGAACTCTGTCAAACAAACTAGGGCGAAACAAACGCGTTCAGCAAAGAATAACATATTTTTTGAAACGTGGTGTTCCTGGTTATGTATACATATACAGAGAGAGCGCGATAACCCTATGTCTAACTTTATATAAGTTAGTTGGACCAGCACCAAAGAATACTAAACAACGTTAGTCCGAAGTTCACAGAGTCGACATAAATAGATATATACGCAAAGAGCTTTTGTGTCCGATGAAGACGAAGTTATCGTCTTAAAGACTAATGTATGTACTACATATGATGCTAATGGGATAGCTTCTGATTCGTGTAGTTTACCTATACATCTAGTACGCTAAAATGTATTCGCAGCCAGGTGACCTCAATAATTCGTGTATGCGTAGAGCTTATCCCTGATAAATAATCGTTATGCCCCTTGACCACATGCGACCTGTGTAAGACAACGACCAACGCGTATAATGAGCCACGTTGCCCGTTGTATGGTCTTACCGTGACGTTATACGCGACTCCGCTGCTCAACTGGGACAGCACACCCATACATATCAGCAGTAGCCAACTGTTCATAGTGGTGAATCCGACAGACAGTTTTGTATTAACTCTGACGAGTACGTGATGTATACATAATAAGTAATCCAGTCAGCGCAAACACCAGATTAAATTCCTGATTTGTCGCGATAAAGTATTCAATAACAATACGTTGTTGACTTAATTGTGTTTGTATATCTGATAGTATTTTCTGGTTTACAAGGTTGTCAAACTTTTCCGAAACTTTAAAAAAAATGAATAAAAAGGTTTGTTGCTAACATAAATTATGCAAATTTGGTGCGATATAATATGGTAAAATACACTGTTCTGTAATGTTGACGAGACGACACGTAAGATACAGATCATAAACAAACTTGCAAACCTGACATCATTGGGTCATAATCACATAACGAGGTCGTAACATTAGCAACACCCGCCACATTTATTTTCTATTGTCTATAGTTATGTTATTTATTCGTTTATTTAATTTATTTATGTAAGAAACTGTTAATACATTATTCATTATATCCCAGACACATGTCCATTACAGTTGCCACCCTTACACATTATATTGATTTGAATAATACGATTTGTCGTCGTATTCGAGCTGTCACAATACATGTATTGCACATGATATTATCGCCTGATTGTGTCATAGTAACTAATAAACACCATTATTATACACCGGTCACCGTAACGCCATAGGTTACAGCGTTTACGGGGTATTTTCATTCTACCATATTAGGAAATGCGAATTCCGAATATAAAATGATTACGCGCGTAAGCGTCCTCTAATGAAAACAAACATGGCTGACACCAGGATTTGAAGGTCTCCACACAAAGAAGTTACCATGATGGGGGAAAAGATGTATAATAAAAAGGTTATTACAAGGATACCGCAACGTAGGCGCTCAGACAATACGCCGTCACATCGACCTCCGCTGGGCGTCGGTCGATACTCCCGCTGTACTATCTTCGTACACACTTTTCGGTATCCTCGTAATAAACTCATATTCTTTAATTGTTTTCACACGAATTCGCAAGATTATGGCGTACATGGTTCTCACAAAATTATTTCAAGTGATGTCAATTTCTCTAAATCTCACGAGACAGTGTTTTTTGTGTGTGATATAACCCGTTGCGAGGGTACATGTTTGCGTTTCTTCTGTCGGTGAGGTTTTTTAGCTCCGATGTCGACTTTGTCGAGCGGAGCTTATCATATGAGTGATCAGATTGTCCGTCGTCCGTGTCAATGTTTTACTTTTTCGACTTCTTCTTGAAAACTACAAGCCTGAATGCTTTGATACCTGGTGTATATGTACCTTGAGTAGACCTCTCTTAGATTTGTTCATTTCATGATGATATCCTCAATTCTCTAATTTTGGTGAATATTTTTGTCATTTTTGGTAAAAAGTGATATTTGCGACTTCTTGTTGAAAACCGCAAGTCCAATTGCTTTGATATTACATATATAGGTACTACATGTGGTTCTAATTCAGATTTGTTCATTTTGTAATGCTATCTTTAATTCTCTAATTTTCATGAATATTTTTGTATTTTTTGGTAAAAAGTGATATTTACGGCTTCTTGTTGAAAACCGCAAGTCTGATTGTTTTGATACTATACATTTTGTTCATTTTCTAATGATATCTTCTGTTCTTTAATTGAAATGTGTATCGCTAACAGCGGAGCTATCTCAGCCGAGAGGCTGCTTGTTAGACCCATAATACAACATGTGGGATAACTTTGGTAAGTATGGCTTTGTTAGGGATAGCCATGGTGAATATGACTTCATTCATTTGACCAACCGACTTTGGGGTTTCAGAGTTGGAGCACTTGGAGTTGGAGTGTGTTCTTGTTAACTGAGTTGAATATGTACGTAATAATCACACCTTGCGCGCCCTTGAGACCCTTACTAGAAAGGTTAAATACATAAACTACTGATCTTAGACAACCAGCGGAATGAGAAGTAGTCTGAGTACTGACATAACAAACATAATGAATATAGTCCAGTAATTTATAATAGCGCCTCCATTGTTCAAATTTGAACCTCTTTTCAATGGCGATATTCATATTTACATTCAGTAGTACTTGAAAATGAAGTAAATGGATGTCCTGGAAAGCTACGAGTGCTGACTCGATGCTATATTTAGCGTCATCGAGTAATGCCTATGTAAATCATTCTCTGTTAACTACAAAATGGTGCGTGTGAGGTTTACACGATCGTCTTGAAAGCGACGGCCGAATAAATATGTAAATCACATGTCGAATTCACCGGGGAATACAAGACGGTCTGCGCACGATGAGAATACCATTGTAAAACAAGACATCGTGTATTTGGACTCCCAGTAGTATGAAGGCATAGGCTAGTCAATATGTCTGCGATATTAGTTTTCACTGCATGTTCCGTTATCAAACGGCTATGCACGTACGTGTGTTGCAGGTCATTCATTGTTACTATGTCAAGGCACAAATTACGCTTTTTACTTACTAATAATTAACTCTCAAACTTGTCTATACATCCGGCTATAATTAGGCGACGCTTTGGGAGACATTTCTCCTAGGACGAATTAACAAGCCACATTGTTATTCGCTGTACTTACACCATGCAACCATCGTATTATTCGGGAAAATAAAACATCTCGGGGGGGGGGGAGTTGACAGCTATCTTTAGAAACTAATCACTTTTTCAACTTACATAGTAAGTACATATGTCGTGGTTACTTTACTCTAAAAGCATTGACATAGATAACTTTGTGGTTATTGTAATGGTCACGATATTATTAAAATATTTCCCTGTGCGCAACAAATGCCCAATAAGAGAGCTTCATGTATTGTCTGCACCTATTTCAGTGAAGTATTCGTGTTAAAAAAAAACACTGCACGTGAATAAATATCAACATTTATTTATTATAGTTTAGTTTAATAACGCAGTGTAATATTTGGGTAATATCTCCACACTATTGTATTAACAATCTCGGCTATCTGATTGGCCCGTGCAAACAGATTAATCTTTTGAGACATCGTGGCTGACTATCGCTGAATAATTACTATCTCAAAGATATTGGTGGTTTTACAAAACATTTCTTGAGTTATCATTAACAATTATATATTAATTCTGCTAGTTTCAGATGCCGACTGATATGCGTGTGTGATATAAAGCCTCGCATATATGTGAGATGTCTTTTTTAAATTCTTCCAACCTTAACTTCACCAACACGTACATACATTTGTTTCACTCGTGTCTAGTGGCGACTTATCATGGATTGTGACACAGCCGCGGTTTTATATTGACTCAAAAATTAGTAATTATATTACCAATACATCCTCTAAACCGTTAATATAGTTATGACTTCAAAAATAATGAATACTCCTTAATCGCAATAGCGTAAACTAACGGTAATCGGCGTTCATGGATGGCGATCGAATATGCAAATGAACCAGAAGGCTTTACAATGTCTTGAATACATGGTCTTAAAACACGATACCTGCGTCAGTGTTTAGACCTTAGAAGCTGCGAAATGGGTACATGGGTTAAACACGATATCCAATTCGTGACCCTACAATATCAGATTTATTGAACTCTTGTAGTAATTTTCATTTGTTTACGCAAAGGCACGGAACAAATGAAAATCACTACACTCTTTTTAATAAATCTGATATCATAGGGTCACTCTATATATCCTCTATATATCTGAAAACCATCAACGATCATTTTATCGTAGAATAAAATATAATATTAGTGACTAGCTACTCATTTTTATGCTAGATCACATGACATTACGTCATCTTTAAAAAAGCATTAGTTGTGTTTGAGTATATACGGAAATGGAAAAGCTGTGCAAACACTGCACATATTACAGATTCACAAAGTGTGTTACGAAGCATATCGAATCGTGTATGTATTTTTTTTAACATGGAAGGAATAATCGATTGTTTTTTAATGACCTAACAGATGATGAAGATGACATTTAAGACATGCCATGTTATACATATTCCGGAAGCTGCTTGATATGTCAGCGTTTCATATGTGCATATTTTGGTAAACAATACATTTTTATTATACTAACTTGTCATTTAAAACGTGTTTCATGTAGATATAAAAGATGCCGCGATAAGTTTATATATAACGATTATTGTGAACATTCTTTATGTTTTGCAAAGATTACAATTCAATAGATGTTTTATATTTATTCCTAGTGTGTTCATAAACTACTGACGTCATTATGAGAAGAACAAAAAGATGGTAAATATTTGAAAATTTAAAACAATCGGTTGTTGAAGCTATTTAAATTTTGTTAAGGCAAGGCAATCACACTATTTGCGAATATAACACGTGCTATTCTCTCTTCAAGATTGTTTTTGTAAACTGGCGTAACAATTAAGCTACTGTTAATAACGGATAATGCATAATCATCTATTTATGTTTCCTGCTAGAATATGTCGGTGTGACCGCTGATTTACTGTTTACGGTGAGTTAAAAACGTTATTCGTTGATGTGATGAAATGTGCATGAGTATTGAATTTCTGGTACGTACCAGTTCTAAAGAAATTCGCATTTGCATTATTAAATTTGTCTTCAAATGTATTCTAGTTTTTCTACTGTACATTTTCACAGTTTAAATCACATTTGAATTCATATTGTCTGTTTCAAAGGTTTATTCTTATATATTCATCTGATGTTGCATTGTCTATCTAGAGAAGAACACTTTATATTTTGGGTAAATGAGCCGCCGTGTACAGATCTGAATCCTGTCCTGATTTTGACACAGCTATGTCAGAATGTTATCACCGATGTTTTGGACATATCACCTTATGAGCAAACTTGTTTGAAGTAAGGTGATTTTCAGAAGTCAATGATGTATGAATGTTGACATAACATCAATTTATACTCCTTCAAAAAACAAGAAAGTGTAAACCTTCACATTGTATATAATGCATTGATCCATGATCCTTGACAGGCTCTCCTCAAAATGGAAAACATTCGCACAGTGGCCCTTTTTGTTGACTTGAGTAATATGTTTAATAGAACAGGAAGTAAGTCATGTGCTTTTTAGAATCATTGACCCGAATAAGCAGTGATTTAGCAGCTTGAGAAATTACA